TCACAGCCTATCTGTATAGACCTCCAGGTTTTCTATTGATTGGTATTGAGATTAAAGGCATGTGTATCCAATACTGGCTGTATCCCTGAACACACAGAGACTTACCTAGCTCTGCCTACCAAGTGCTGGGATTACAAGTGTATGCCACCACTGCCCTGTTTTTCTATGGCTTGCTATTAGCTCTGACCCCCAGGCAACTTTATTTATTAACATACATTTAATATTTGAATACAAATTAAATATCACAATAGGGGTGTTCACAGAGGCCAGAAGAAGGCATTGAATCCCCTGGAGCTGGAGTTAAAGGCATTTGTGTATTGTCTGATGTGGGTGCTGGGGTCTGGACTTGGGTCCTCTGGGAGAGCAACAGGTGCTCTCAACCATCACCTTGTCTCTCTGGTGCCCCTTTTGCATTGAGCTGTCTTCAGTCTTTCCTTGACTCCTATAACCTCATCACATTTGAGTAGTTCAGGCCTGTTATTTTAGTGTTCCCATTTTCTTTTGGAGATAAGTGATTTTCAGTGTGTTCTACCATGCATGGCTTGATCTTGCTGTTTTTCAAAAGGTCACATATGACAATCTGTTTTGTTTGAGCTCTTTATATCTTTTATGTCCGATACAGTTATTTGTATATGGCTTTCTGTTTAAATTGTTTTCCATTTGTCATCACTGCTACCTGTTCTTTCTCTATATATCTGCTTTCATCTCAATTAACTAGATTTTAGGACTCGCTATCTTATCTTCACTAATGCCTTATAATCCATACATCTTAATTTCTTTGAAATGATTGCTTCTAAGGTTAAAATAGTCATCTTTAACTTAGAGTGGATCTTTAAGTAATTATGGCAAATTATATATAATGCAAGTTTCTTATAATAGTAACTTTCATCTAACGGAAAATGCTTTGTAGCTTTAATCACTTGTTGCTGTTTGTCTTGACTCGGGTTCACTGGGATCCATGGAAAGAAGACTCAGAGGCATCTTAAGAATGAATCTAGTCGGGCGGTGGTGGCGCATGCCTTTATCTCAGCACTCGGGAGGCAGAGGCAGGCGGTTCTCTGTGAGTTCGAGGCCAGCCTGGGCTACCAAGTGAGTTCCAGGAAAGGCACAAAACTACACAGAGAAACCCTGTCTCGAAACACCAAAAAGAGAAAGAGAGAGAGAGAGAGAGAGAGAGAGAGAGAGAGAGAGAGAGAGAGAGA